GGGCCTCTAGAAATAATGGCATCTTTATTTTCATTTCAGAAAATATACTTATGGAAGCATGTATGTAAATTCCACAAGATGCTCAGATTTTTGTTCAGATTTTCATTTTAAAAATCAAATACAAATCCAGACTGGCCATCTTTCTTAAAGCAGAATGGCACATATAGATACTTAGATATCTATATCAAACCAGTAGTACACAGAAAAGCACTTAATGTTTGTTTTTCTATGGTTCTATCTCTGTTTTGCATTTAAGCTACCACAGAGAAACAATTAGTATTATTCATGTTTCTCTTGTAATTGGTACATAATATCTACAAATATAAACAAATTATCTTCACATATTTAAAAAAGATTATTACACAAAACTAAAAATATTACCAAAAACCTACAAATTATACAAATTATACACTAGTGGAATAGTGGTGCCATTCTTAGATTATTAATGTTGAAATCATTCACATTGCTAAGGGCAGCTGGCATCGGGCTAGGGCAAATAGTTAACATCAGCTTTATCTTCTCAGCAACAGAAAAGTGCCGCGACAGAAGAAAGTGCACATGCCCCAGATCAATCTGTCATTATCTGCTTGTTCAAAGAAATCCTTTCCCATGGTCCCTTATTAAATCACACCGCTTCTAAAGCAAACAATTTCTCAGCTCTATAAGAGGTGACTGTGTCAAACCGACGAAACGAAAAGAGCATGCGACATGTTGCCAGGGGACTTGACAATGACAGGAACAAGCTGACCTAACAAATGTAGTAATATTGGAAACTCTTCACTGAGAAACACGACCACCAAGGCAATAACAGCAGACACCAGCAGGTAGACTCCAGATAAAAATCATGCACTGGAGAAGGAGATGTATTTCCATCAGTCCTCCTCCAGTTTACTCCTCCCATTCTGTCTCCAGCTGTGCCAGATGTGCTCCCTCCTGAAACGACCCTGCTGCAGCCGCGCAGCTGCTGCGCACCCTCCTCCTGCCCAGTGAGACGGGGTCTGGTCACGCCCGAGTCCCATGCAGCATCGGAGCGCGCGTCCCTGTGCTCTGTGGCACGTTGGGGCACCTGTTACTGTCTCAGAGCGGTAGGGAAATAAAAACCTTTGCAAGCATAGGAATTGCTGTGCCAGTCAAAGGCAGCATTTCAACATGCTAGAGCTGTCTTTGGTATCAGCTATTAACAGGAAAGGCAAGGCGTTCTTTGCGAAATGAACTGTCTAATGAGAATGGGTTTTGCAGTTCCTCACTAAAAAGGTGGTCTTGTGGTTAGGAGCAGAAGGGTTAATACCCAAATTTGTCTTAATTTCTTCTTCATCCTTGGAAATCTAACACAGGGTGCTCTGAAGATCTATGTGAATATTGACCCCCTTTATAAAAACAGATACCTTGTGCTGATGATATCCACTGGCAATGAGTCCCATAGGGTAATCACACACCTACACCTTTCTAAATCCTATGCAAATTTAAATATGTGTGCTCTTCTTTGCAGGATTCCGGTTTGTGTATTTAAGAACAGCCAGTCTACTTGGTTTGTACAGCATGTTACTTACTGTTCTCATGTTTGTCTTCAAACATTAAGTCTTTATTTCTCAAACCTCATATCACAGCTTTTCCTATGCTAGACATCATTTTTATTGCTAGTATTTAAAGCCTCTCTTTTCTATTCCCATCTGGTTTTTAACATGGTAAATAGAAATGAGTACTGGGTTGCATTTGAATAATACTATTGATGTGAATAGTGATCAGAAGCATTTTCAGTTGAAAACATTACGCAATTTACATTTATTTTTCACCCAAAAATAGTTTCACCAAAAATGT